TCTTTCTCTGCAGATGTCAAACCTTCAGCCTTGAGGTCAGTGAAGGTTCAGCTGAGGGCGGGATCTGCAGACCTGAACGACCCCACAGTGCAAGAATCCATCCTGCAGCAGGTCAGAGGTCACACGGGCCCCGATACAAGGAACAGACCGCTATAACTACTGTGAAATGATAGAGAGCAGTGAGTCTGTGCAGGTTCAGGGACACGTGACAGCACACAGCTGCAGAGATACGGGGCTCGTTTAATGCAATCCCATCCATTTGTATTATTTAACCTTTTTTTAACTGGTAACTTGAAGAAGTCATTTAATTTCAGATTACTGTGAGGAGACGACGTGAACCAATGACAGGCAATGAGGCCTAATTCCAGACTTCAGTTTCATCCCCAGCCAGTTCATTTAGTTCATTTCCCCCAGAAACAGCACGAACAACGTTTTCTGCTCACTACAGAAACAACGGCTGATTAATGAGGAGCTTCTGTTAATGTGTGAAAACTGTGTTTCAGGTGAGGGAGAAGCTGGTGGAGCAAGGAGTCACTGAGGAGGTGAAGCTGAGGTGGAGGACGCAGCCTGATGGGAAGGTTTTCCACAGAGAGGAGGAGACAGCCGCTTACAGTGAGAAGGAAGACTGTGGCGGTTTAGTCTGAACGTTATTGGCTGATGTTCCTCAGATGATCTGCTGTGTAATTCAACTTATTTCCATCTCTGTACTCTGACTGCTGGACTGTAACAGCGTAGCTTTGCATGACTGACAGTTGGAAATCATCCTTCTTTATCCTAAGCTCAGATCAGAGTGTCTGATGAGCTGTTTTATGCCTCTTTGTTTCTTCTGATTGGTGAAGCTAAAGTTTGCAGGTGAGCGGGTGGGCGGACCTTCTGTGTCTCAGATATAAATGTTCATGATATCCTGTCTCTACATATGAAAGTTCAAGAGGAGAAAAAGGTGAAACTGAGTGTTCAGAGCAGCCTGATGTCTGAGCTTTTTGACTTCATACTTTATAGTTCAAATGAGCACCCAGCAATATAACAGTAGATATGCCGTATATGTCAGTGAATCGCGCATTTATGCTCTCTATTATCATATTAAATATACATTTTTCTGTCTCAGAAATGTCTCTGCTGCTGTTTGATTCTGTAAACTACAGTCATGGCTCTGCATCCATCTTCATTGTAAACTCTATTCAATAAAGTCTATTGATATTTTATTGTTCTGTCAGAACTTTCAGTTGCTTCATTTTTATGCTCTTATTTTGAATTTGATGCAGTAACACACATCATAAAGGCTGAGACAACATGAAGTTTAATGCTAAACAATAAGACGTCTCACATACAGTGAAGCTGATTGGCGGGACAGCAGTCACATGACTGGCTATGAAATCCCAGACAGACAATCCAACAGTTTGTGAAACATCTGAATGTAAAATGCTGAAAACTTCTGCTGCTCATCTGTTCACAGAAAAATCTGTGAAAGTGACGAGACAGCTGTGTGACGGTGATTTTCAAAATAAATTCAGATCAAATATTTTCTGTTTTAAAACACAAAGTGTTTCACAGTCTGATAAAACTCCACATCAAGACTAGAGTACCGGTCCACACAGCGGTGCATTCACTGCTGCACACACACACACGCGCACACGCACACACACACACACACACACACACACACATTAGAGGAACAAAAGCCAAAAACAACAGGAAACAGATTAAAGCTCATCTATAAAATGAGTTTCCAGCAGTCGCTGCCCTGACATGGACATGGCTGATGTGTTTACAGATTCTGCACTGTAACAAATGGCAGTGACATATAAACCATGTAAAATCCCTACAGAAATGTATAGTAAACCCCAAAACATATTTTTCCTGTTTCAATTCAATTCAATTTTATTTATATAGCGCCAAATCACAACATAAGTCGCCTCAAGGCGCTTCATAGATACAGAGAAAAACCCAACAATCATATGACCCCCTATGAGCAAGCACTTTGGCAACAGTGGGAAGGAAAAACTCCCTTTTAACAGGAAGAAACCTCCGGCAGAACCAGGCTCAGGGAGGGCGGGGCCATCTGCTGTGATTGGTTGGGGTGAGAGAAGGAAGACAGGATAAAGACATGCTGTGGAAGAGAGACAGAGGTTAATAACAGATGTGATTCAATGCAGAGAGGTCTGTCTCAATCACAGTGAATTTTTGTAAACTATTAAACAGAATGTTTTTGTTACATTTACAACATCAATGTGTGATTATAATCAAATTTATTTGTTAAAACTACAAATATTGGGAACAAAAACAGTGAAATACTTTAATATTATAACAAAACAATTATGTTAATTTGACATGCAAATATTGTAAAAACTATAGTTTTAGTCAGTTGTTTTTAAAATACACGAATTATATGTAAGTCACTTTACAAGTTTATACTGTAGGCCTGTAACGGACCTACTTTAAACATGATTCATGAAATTATGCAAATTCAGGTATACGGCTAATAAAAATGTATTCACAGAAAATGCCATTGTGAACTTGAGAGGTTACTTCTCTATTTTTATGCTATACAAAAATATGCAATTATAATGACATTTTTTAATTATTCAGGCTATTTGCAGCCTATTGTACAGTAACCTATAAGAAATTATTTATCGATAGCCTAAGTAAAACTTCTGTTCAGTCATAATCCTGATATTCTTTATGTTTCTTTTAATTGTAATGTGATACTTAGACTAGACTACTGTTTTTGGGTTAGGTCAGCAATGTATCATATCACAGGCTAAACAACCTAACGGTGCCTTCCATAGGATGTCTATGGTGCCTCCTCTCCACAGAGCTGTAGGCTACTGTAGCCTGCACTGAGTGCCTCCACCTCCACCATCATCCCCATCGCCAAGAAGACAGCTGTGGCCAGCCCAAATGACTACAGGCCTGTTGCACTTACGCCTGTAGTGATGAAGTGCTTTGAGAGACTGGTCTGTCAGCACATCAGGGCCGGTCTGCCTCCCACTCTGGACCCCCACCAATTTGCCTACAGGACAAATCATTCCACCGAGGACGCTATCACCATAGCGCTCCACACTGCGCTGAGTCACCTGGAGCACCGAGGAAGCTATGTGAGAATGCTCTTTCTGGACTTCAGCTCAGCATTCAATCATATCATCCCGGAGATCCTGGTCCAGAAACTGTCTCACCTGGGACTCTCCACCCCATCTGCCTCTGGATCAAGGACTTCCTGACAAATAGACCACAGTCTGTCAGACTCGGCCCCCACCGGTCCAGCACCATCACACTCAGCACCGGGTCTCCACAAGGATGTGTTTTGAGTCCCCTCCTGTTTACGCTCTCCGACTGCTCCCCTACCCATCTCTCAAACACCATCATAAAGTTCGCGGATGACACCACAGTGGTTGGACTCATCTCAAGGGGGGATGAGTCGGACTACAGAGATGAGGTCAACAGACTGACTGAGTGGTGTTCAGTTAACAACCTCCAACTGAACACCACGAAAACTAAAGAACTTATCTTGGACTTCAGGAAGGGCAGAGCAGACCCGGCCCCACTTTACATTCACGGGAACTGTGTGGAGAGGGTACACTCCATGAGGTATCTGGGCGTGCAGATATCTGATGACCTCTCCTGGACTGCAAATACCACGGCGGTGGTTAAAAAGGCCCAGCAGCGTCTCCACTTTCTGAGAGTGCTCAGGAGGAACAACCTGGAGGAGAGGCTGCTGGTGACATTTTACAGAGCCACCATAGAGAGCATCCTAACGTACGGCATAACAACATGGTATGCAGGGTGCTCAGCTGCGGACAGGAAAGTACTGCAGAGGGTCATCAACACAGCCCAGAAGATCACTGGCTGCTCTCTGCCCAGCCTGGAGGTCACTGCAAACTCTCGGTACCTCAGCAGAGCTGGCAATATCATCAAGGACCACTCTCACCCCAGCAACCAACTGTTTGAACTATTACCGTCAGGCCGACGGTACAGGTCACATAAAACCAGGACAAACAGATTCAGGGATAGCTTCTTTCCCAGAGCTATCACCGTAGTAAATAAGCACAAAAACAATTGAACCTATTCCATACTGTCACTGTCATTATATTATGCTGCTATTCATACTGTCATTATATTAATGCTGCTATCCTGTATATATTGTACATACTATTGTTTGAGTACTTACGATTGTTTTTTTTTGTACTTTTTATATTTTACATTTATATTTATCATTGAAACTTGCACCAAGGGAGTGGCACTCCAATTTCGTTGTACTCTGTACAATGACAATAAAGGCTATTCTATTCTAGGAGCTGGGTTCTGGTTATATGGTGTTCTTGTCTGTATGTGTTTTTGGTGCCTCCCTTTTTGTATAGGTAGGCAGGGCAGTGAGTCACTGAACCTGGCACACCTGTTACTCATCAGCTGCATTCTTCAGAAGTGTTCTTTAGGAGCTACCTGACAGAAGACTAGTGTCCGAGTATTGACGTTTTTGGAGAGTCTGTAATTCTGCCCCTGCCTGCTGGAGCCGTTGGATTATTTCTGGTGACTGTAAGAAGTTTTGTTTCCTCCCCAGGATTTTGCCTCGTCTGGAGGTTTTGGCAATAAACAGTACCAAGTAAGCTCTCTGTAAAGTCTACTTTAAGCTTTTCTCGGTTATCGGTTATCATTTTTTTAGATCGAGTGCACCTGTGTACCTGTGTGTGTTTCCGTCACCTGCACGTCCTGGCTCCGCGTCCCCATTCATACTCTATTGTACATACTTTGTCCTTGTAAAACCTCCCCATCACTGTAAATAAACTGTCTTCACCGCAACTCTGCCTCCGTGCGTTCTGCTCCCTGGGTCCATCTGCATTTGCCATAACACTGAGTGCGCCTAATTTTGAATGCGCATCTGTAGCTCGTCTCTGATTGGATAATGACGTGAGGGCGGGAGGAGCGGGAGAAGAGCTGCTAGTTCACGGCTACAGCTAACGAACCAGCAGCATGCACAGTCTGCAGAGTGGAGAGAGAACAGAAAACGTCGAGCTTTTACCAAGGACGTTTTTAGGACAAATCACAAATATGCGATCTGTGGTTCATCTGAAAGTTTGCACGGTAAGTTTAACATCTAGGCTACTTTTTTCGAGACCAAAACATCACTAGCACCAGTTGATATTTAGACTAATACTTGATAACTTGGCGCTAGCATGCTAGTTCAGCTGAAAAGCACTGGCAAACTTTTTAAATACTAAAAATGGTCACCTGCGTCTTTTGTAAAAAGATATTGGTCACATTAAGAGGCTGTGTACAGTAGGGCTGCTCAATTAATCGAATTTTAATCACGATTACGATCTGGGCTTTCAACGATCATTAAAAATGACTGAGCCGATTATTGGCCCCTCCCTCATTTATCCGCGACACCTTAAAGGCCGGTCCGTGGGGCATAAACCGGTCCGTGGGGCATAAACCGGTCCGTGGTGCAAAAAAGGGTGGAGACCGCTGATTAAGAGGACCCGAGGGAAGCTCGGAAAGCTAAGCAGAAGTTATTTGGAGAGGAGAGTGACTGCCGTTGGTTGAAAAGAGAGGTAAAAAAAACTTCAGTGGTGTTGCACACTATTTTATATTATTTTTTAAAGTCATTATTCAATACGTTGTCATCGTTAACCCTTTAAAGCCGGTCAGAGCAGCACGCTCCGTTTTGTGTAACAATTTTTAAATCCCTGTAGAACCTGAACAGCGTAAGCTAGCGCAATAATTTGTTTTGCATATGAACCCGGAGGAGTTGTACTTACATCTGATGCCATCAGCTTGTCCTCGGTCACGGTTTCCTTCCACATAAAGCTTTGCAAAAATTGCATAAAAAGCGCTTGCAGGAACAAAAACATAATATTCCAGAAACACGCTTTGTGATCCGATCAGCTGTTCATAACACTTCCCACAGTGAAACAGTCAGCAGTGTTGCCAACTCCTCAGTAAGGAAAATCGCTATTGGTTGTCCTAAAAGTCGCTAGAAGTCGCTAAATGACGTCATCGCCAAATTTGCATAATAGGTCATGCTAATCTAATTGTAACCTATGTTGTTGGAGAGAGAAATAACATCGTGGAAGAGACATAAAGTGAGTAAAAAACGTCCTAAATGCATTTAGAATTTATTTAGAACTACAAATTAAATTTCTTTTAGCAATTATTGTTTTTTTTAATGTCACAATTCCAACCCTGCTCCTTTACCCGGGCTTGGACCGGCAAAAGTGACCCGAAATAGGCACTCTGGTGGAGTTACTTTGTGTGTGTGTGTGTGTGTTTATAAGTAGTTTTAAACCTTGTGATCCACAAAACAGCATAAGAGTAAAAGAAGAACTGACTGTGTTACAGCACCCGCTGCTTGTTGAGAGTAAAAGCAATAAGGGCTTTCACGTCTTTTTTTTTAGCGGGTCTGAAAACTTGCTAAATATAGCGACAAAGTTGGCAACACTGGAAGTCGCGAACTATCGCATGTGCGCCATTTCCTGCCCGAAACCGGAAGTGACGTCATTTTCGCGGAAATGTAGTTTTTTACTTGTAGGCCTTAATTGCCTATACTGGTGTTTTTATAAGTCATGTTTGACTCTATACTTTTCTGAATAGTTTCTGTGATGCTTAGAACTCGAATTGTACAGCTGGAAATGGTTTATTTTGATGCACCTGCTGTTTTCTTTGCAAATTTGCATCATAGGATTGTTTTTTTTCGTTTTTCCTGCAGTATATAAAAATTGGTGTATCTCCAAAATAAAACTATGAAGACACTCAAAATAAATTTCCTGCTGTTGTAAACTATTTTTTTGCAACTTTTTTTGTATTTCAAGTTTTGAGGGATAAGCCTCTTAAATTTCTCCAAGTAGAAATATATGTAAAAAAACCAAAAACGATTTTCAATTTTTTTGTAGTTTATTGTACTTTTTTGCAATTAATGTAATTACTATGGACTTAATGCATACATATTATTACAATATGGGCTATAACAGTTGTATTGATGTATAGCAACTTGAAATGCTCCCACAAATGGCACTACAGCATGTTACAAAAAAAAAAAAAAAAAATTAATAATAATATAAGCTCTGGCGGACTTGGTTCTATAGTAGGTCGTAAGGGTTAAATAAATATCGTCAAATAATCGAGATCTCAATTTCAGTGAAAATAATCGTGATTATCATTTTTGCCATAATCGAGCAGCCCTAGTGTACAGTGGTCCTTCATTTATGGCGGGGGTTACGTTCTAAAAATAACCCGCCATAGCTGAAATCCGAAGTAGCCAGCTTTATTTTTTACAGTTATTATAGATGTTTTAAGGCTGTAAAACCCCTCACTACACACTTTTCTCAGACAGACATGAACATTTCCACACTTTTCTCTCTTGTTTAAACTCTCTCAAAGTTCAAACCTTTGTAGAAAAATGAGTCCAGTATTATAGAATGGTTGCATGTGTTTACAAAAAAGAAGAAAGTGTAGGAAGCATAAAGCATGTTCCCCAGATGGTATTAATGACATGTACAATCTCACCCTCAGCCCCCAAATTACAGTACAGATTATTAAGAAAACTCACATAAAACCATGTCATCTGCTAATTCAGCCACTGATACGCCAGAGAATGATAGTCAGTCTTATCTCGGAAATATGTGTCTCTTTTACCTTAAACTGCAAGGACAGCTGCTAATTCCTGCCTCTATAATACAGATTACTTGGATTTGAAGGGGAAAAGGTCTTCTGGACTACATGACCACAGTTGGTGTCAGCAAAAGCAAGACGTTCCTTCAGACTGATGCAAGGCTTCAGAGGATACGGGGACGGCAGAGTGGCTGCTCAGATGATGTGAAAGAGGTGGTCCTGCTTCTGCTCAGCTACTTTGAAGAGAAGGAGTCCATGCTTTTCCATGTAGAAGATGCATGTCTGGCAGATGAGGTGCAACTGGAGCAAGTGTCTCTGACACCCACGATTATTGTCTTTGGTAAGTCTGTTTCATAGCTCTCTCTCTTTTTAATTGCACTGTTTATAGAATCTCATGTACTGCAGTGCTTATTAATATAACCTGTTAAATAATTTGTTCTCAGGTCAGTCCTGCTATTCCTTAAGATGATACATGCTGAGTCTTGATCGGAACCTCGTCAGCACAAACATATCCTCATTCATTTCTGCACTGTGCATCGTGTTCGGGAGCTACTACAATTTTAACATCCATTATCTGGCTTCCACTCTGGAGGTTCTTCGAAGGTGAGCAAATATGTCTTTCTTATTTCTTAGACCTGAGAATCTCGCGTTACAACAATTGTGATTGAGACTCTGAGATCTGGAGTCTGGCTCTGACTCTTGGCTGGGTTTGGACCCGAATTAAGACTGTTTTTATAAAATAACAGTCTTTATTTTTCCTTTTCATAATGATCATGTGTTTTGAATAATTGTATTGTTTGTTATTTTCTCTTTTACCGTGGGAGGGGCTTTCATGAGAATGAAATGAATAAATTTTTTTTTTTTTTTTTTTGCGAGAATGTCTCACGACAGTGACGCAAGCGAGTGCGACGTTCGTGACAACAGCTGTGTGCAGATCAACAATGGATCACATATCGAGTGCAGAGAGAGTATGAGCGTGCAGCGTTTAAAGCGTGGAAGCACTGACCTTACTTTGAATTTGATTCCATAAAAAGTGACAAAAACATTAGTGTCTGCTGTGCGTGGGAAGAAAACTTCTTTTTACAGCGAAAAAACCCCCAAACGTCCGAGCAAGCACCGAGTAGCTACGATGTAATGGGAAACTCACAGAGAAACTCGCAGATTCTTCAACTGACATGACTGCTGCAACTCGCCTGCCCCACTCCTGCTAAACAGGTGAAAATAGAGCAACAGGACCACTGAGTCTATTTGAAAGACTGAGTGTAAACACAAAAAAATATTTTATTTTATGTGCAGAAAATAGGTTTAAATGCTAAACAAATTTCTTCCAGTCAGAGAATGTTGTATATAATTTAATGTTTGCTTGATGCATAAAGTTAGATGAGTAATAAATAAATAAAACTAGTTTTAAAAACCATTTGATTACATTTTGTATGATGGATTATGCAGAAAAAGTAGAATTGGGCTGAAAGATCTATCGCTTTATCACCTCTTCAGGTTGTAACTAAAAAACTAATTACTTTTGAAAATAAGTATCAGTAAAGTAACAGGATTACTTTTGGGGGGAAGTAATCAGTAATTAGTTACTGATTGCATGGCGCCATCTGCTGGCCAAACCTTCACATTGCACTACAAGAATAAAGACGATGTAGTGTGCATCCTGGTAACTGTGGCTTGTTTACAGACTCTAATATACTGTGTGGAAATGTACAGAAGATTGTTTGTTTTGTTGCATTCAGTAAGACCTGAAATTAGAGACTGCACTTCTATACAGTCAGATTTCTTCCAACCAGACCAGCTGCCCCCTGCTGGCCTGTAGAAAGAATGCAGATTCAAAGCTTCACGTTCAGATGCGCCAACGTCCATCCTTTTTTTACAGCCTATTTGTGACTTGGCCGCCATAGCAATGGGTATCAGTGTGTTTACAGTTTTGTTTACATGTGAACAAAAAGAAGAACAGGACTGTAACTACATGCAACCAAAGACGTGATTGGTCAATGCATGTGGACTACAAATAAATATGTATATAAATGAATAAAAGCATCTTTCACCATTTTTGTTCATTTAGCCAATTTTTTTTTTTTTTTTTTTTTTTTTTTTTTTTTTGCAATAAGTCATCCTCTGCCCGCTGTGTCCACAAAGGACGTGTCCACCTATAGGGCTCAGCAAACTCCAACCGCTCCACCACTGAGGATGTAGGCCCATCCTTCCTGTCCACTCAGTGAGCCGATACACACCAACGTTGATTTTCTCACAAATAATTATTCTTATAAAAATAATTCAGTCGGCACACCGCAGTAGGTTTGTTATACTAAAAGCAGTCACAGGTTTATTAACATTGAGATGATCAGATGGTTTACAGTCAATAAAAACATGTTAGTAATATTCAGAGTGAATATAAATGATGTTAAAAACAAAACATCACAGTTTCAGCTAAGAGATGAAGTCTAAATGAGAAGTAATTTATAAGATTGTGTTAACTCCAGGATTACATTAAAAAAGACATTGATTAGCTAAAAACATCCTTGTTCCATGTTTTTGTTAGAGTGCAGTCATGTCGGTGACCTTTCCCTCTGCTCGACTTCACCTACGGAGGACCAAAGCTGACTTCATGAAAATAAAGTAATACAGCTGATAAAAACGACTCATATAAAACACTTTGAAATACAAACGAAAAAATACACAATTTAATTCCTTTTAAATACTTTTTCATGGTCTGTGTTCATCATTTTAAATTCATGTATTAACTTTAGAGAACCTTAAATATTATTTCAGTATTTTATGATTCGAGATCAGTTTGAGTCAGACTTCAACTTCCATACAAGCAGAACAGTGACTATAATTCTCCTTTTATCCATTTTCCCTATTTCATGTTGTGTTATTTTAGTATTATTATTGATAAATAAATTTACTATTTGAGTATTTTGTGGACATATTATTACTCATTTGTTACTTTTCAGTGTTACATATATTTTGCGATGTATTTGGTCAAGAACGTCTTAGCTCTGTAAATCGTTTTCATTTATGAAAGTTTAAATTATATTTATTTCTAAACACATGTTGTCATTTACAAATGTGTTTATTCATTTGGCCTGTTTGTTTTTCAACAAGTCACCTTTGGTCCTCCGTATATTCGGTGGGTTTGAAACAGACTGCAGGTTATAACTCGTCTTTAATGCAAACAAAGTTTGAATATCACCAATAAAACTCTTCTTCTTTTGTGTCTTCATGTCCCACTGTTACCCTGCAGCGCCCCCCTGTGGTCTGCACAGAGAAACCCGGCAGGTGTGGTGTTTCTGGGCTCAGGTGTGGTGGCGTTTTGGCTTCAGAGCTCACTGCAGCAGGCAGGTGCACTTAGTGCCTTTCTCTTTGTGCATGGTGCCGAACAGCTGAAGGGCCTGGTTGTTGATCAGCTTCCAGAAGTTGTCGAAGGAGATGTTCTGGCCGCTCTGCACACCCATCTGCTCCAGGACCTTACCCAGGCCTTCTTCATTCTCCACCGTCTGCAGGCAGGAAACAGCAAGTCAGTCAGCACTGCTGGAAACACTTAGTGGAAACTCAGGGGAGCGTGATCTCAGGCACAAAGCACTCCACCAACTCTGGTCCAGAATAACAGAGAGGAGGATGTGACCTGCTTCATTACTGTTAGCATGAAAGAGTTTTATTTCATTTTTTTTTTGCTTCTCTTGTATGCTTAAGCATCCATCCATCCATCCTCTTCCCATTATCCTTTTCAGGGTTGTGGGGGGGCTGGAGCCTATCCCAGCTGTAATGTTAATTCAATATTTTTAACATAATACTGACTCTAATCACTTTTTCCTTTCTTTTCATGCAAAGTGTGTTTTAAGCTTGTTTTAAGACTTTAAAAACAACGTTGAGCTGTCAGTGCACAAAGACTCGATTAGTCTGATTGTTACCTAACGTGGGACGTTCTGCTGACTGATGGCAGTTCGCTGAAGAGAAGCCCATAATTAAATCACCTCTGCGGCGCCCTCTGCTGTGCAGATGACTGCATTTACAGTTGGTTTCCAGGTGATGCAACAAAAAGCAGAATTCTTTACGACAACTTTCAGAAATATCATCAAACTTTAAGCTAAAGGAATCAGTTGCTTTGTCATTTCCAGAGATGGGCAGTAACGCGTTACTGTAATTCGATTGCTTTTTTCAAGTAACGAGTAAAGTAATGGATTACTACTGCAAAAACGGTAATTAGATTACCGTTACTTTCCTGTCGGAACACTGCGTTACTAAAACCGTGATTTTTTTTTTTTTTTTTTTTTTTTTTTTTTTTTTTTTTTTTTTGGCGAGAATGTCTCATGACAGTGACGTAAGCGAGTGCGCCGTTCGTGACAACAGCTGTGTGCAGATCAACAATGGATCATATATCGAGTGCAGAGAGAGTGTGAGCGTGCAGCGTTTAAAGCGTGGAAGCACTGACCTTACTTTGAGTTTGATTCCATAAAAAGTGACAAAAACATTAGTGTCCGCTGTGCGTGGGAAGAAAACTTCTTTTTACAGCGAAAAAATCCCTAAACTTCCAACAAGCACCGAGTAGCTACGACGTAATGGGAAACTCACAGAGAAACTCACGGATTCTTCCACTGACCGCGGCACACCTGCACCAGGGTAACCCTCCGCCTACCCCACTCCTGCTTTACAGGTGAAAATAGAGCAACAGGACCGCTGAGTCTTTGACTTTATTTATTTTCTGCTGTGTTTCACTTGCATCTATTTGAAAGACTGAGTGTAAACACAGAAAATATTTTATTTTATGTGCTGGAATGTGCAGAAAATAGGTTTAAATGTTAAACTAATTTATTCAAGTCAGAGAAAGTTGCAGATAATTAAATCTTTGCTTGATGCATAAAGTTAAAAGATTAAAACTAATAAAACAAGTTTTAAAAAGAGACTTTTCCATTTGATTACATTTTGTGTGATGGATTATGTAGAAAAAGTAGAATTGGGCTGAAAGATCTATTGTTTTATCACCTCTTCAGGTTGTGAATCATGTTTTTAAAAAGTAACTAAGAAATTACTTTTGAAAATAACTAATCAGTAAAGTAATGGGATTACTTTTGGGGGGGGAAGTAATTAGTAACTGATTACTTTTTACAAGTAACTTGACCAACGCTGGTCATTTCTAATAAAAGCATGTTGGAGGATCAGTGTGAAATCTAGTTCGGTTGTAGACATGAAGGATTTTTTATTTTAGGAATGATTTGATTGGGAGTATTAAAAACAAAGTCTGTTTCTCAGTTGAAGCCCTCAGCGTGGACTGGGATGGATAAATAAGTGACAGAAAAATCTGAGTTTTGCTGACTTTGTTCCAAATAAGGTTTTAAACCCAAAGCACAACAAAAACACTTCAACTTCTACCATCTGTGCAGATTTCCCTTCAGGACTTTCTGAGGACTGTGTCTCCGTCATAACGTCTCTGATCTGCAGTGAGCATTCCCGAACACGTCAGACGTCACCGAGGACGCATATTATTCCAGCCCCCACGCTTAATTAACGAGGAACAGACGCATGTTCTCCTGCAGTCTGCTTACTTGGTTAAACAGCCTTTGTTTGGAGACCGAGTTAAATGATTTGTGATTGGAAGACGAGCTGTGATGTCATCAGTACCTTGGCAATTGCCGGCATCTGACTGGAGATCATGGACTGGAACTGGGTGGTGTTCATGGTC